GAAAAACCATCAGAAAGCATCAGAACCATTAAATAAAACCTAAAAACCTAGACGCCCATTGTGATAAACAAGTAAAAATTGAGCTTAGATATGATGTGAATTGGCTGAACTATGAAAAATTGCTTGGTTCTTATTCCAGGGAGATTATCCAGCATTTTGGGGAGAAAATGGCCTTTATTTACTTAATTTCAATGGTCACTCTTACAGTACATAGCTAATAAACATCTTAAGAGGAGAAAGAAAATCTCTACTGATTTTATTTAAAAGATTCATACTTAATTTTTAAATTAAACAGTACCGAAGACTATATAAAAAGAAGTCAAAATAATCTGAATTTCTGCCACCCAAAGATTGTCACTTAATATTTCAGACCTTTCAAAATTCATGTATATATTATAGTAATATAATTTTAATCTACATGCAGCTTTATAATATGTTTTTTTACTGTGTTGTTTAATACTCATCTTTCTGTGTCTTTTCATGTCAGAATAGCCTTCAGAATCCAAAGAATTGAAACTATAATGGTGAAAACGACTGATGGGAGGTGTGTGTTGGGCAGTACTCTGCATTTCCCACCAGGCTGGCCCTGAGCACTAAAGCCAGAATCAGAGAGAGACTTGTGTGAAGGACATAGTCTGCCTTTTGACCCTCCTGTTTTTTTCCCACTTGCGGTCACAACCTTTCCCTCTGGATATCTCCAGTCGGACCCCTGCCAATGGATGTGTCTGAGTTAGGATGGAGGGGAGGTGTGTAGCCATATATGATTGTACCTGCTCCCCTTTGCAGATTAATGCCCTTGAGGCTCAGATGGTTGTCATCTCCCCTGAAAAAGAGTAGCCAAAGGCAGATCTCCATGCCAACTCTTAACAGGTTGCCAGTGCCCTGCTTTCAGGCTTATGAACTGGGGCGCTGTGAGGTAGCAGGCCAAGGCAAAAATGACTATTCTTAGAACAAGATAAGTGCACAGGAGGGCAGAGCAGGAAACAATGTCCCAGAAGCCTTTATGTTGGAAGAGAACTTTATCGTTGCTGATTCTTAAGTTCATTTCAAAAGCACCTTCCTCTGTGCTTTTCTTATTTCCTTTGTTTTGAAAGTTGTTCTTCATTATTTCTCTGTTCAAGTCTTTTCTGTCACCCAAAGTCTGTCTCAAATACCAATTCTTCCATGATACATATTTTGGTTCCTTTTCCCTGAAACCAGATGTACTTGACTTGTGCCCATTGGTTAAGGCTCATTCTATATGCTTTTAGAATGTTTTGGACAATGGAGTATCAATAGCTGAGGAAATAATGATAGTCTTCCTTTCATCATAAAAAAAAAGTGTTCATTGTTTATAGCAAGAATTAGTATCAAGATTCTGCCCTTCAACAGCACTTAATAAAAGAAGCAAACTTATTCTTGGAAATTTCCATCCCAGCTATTAGTTTGACCATAGACAAATCTCCCTCCGCACATAACTGAGCTAAGAAAAGAGTAGCATTTAGCTTGGTATTGTAAACACCTAGCTATACTCATTAAAAGGTTCTATTTAAAGGCGAAGGGGCTATACAAAAATAACTTAAGATGAATGAAAGACTTGAACCGAGGACCTGAAACTGTAAAACCCCTAAAAGAAAACATAAGTGGTAAGCTCCTTGACATTTGTCCTGGCAATGACTTTTTTAAACTTTGACACCAAAAGCAAAAATAATTAGGTGGGACTACATCAAACTAAAAAGTTTCTGCACAGCCTAAGAAACTATCAACAAAATGAAAAGGCAACCTACTAAATGGGAGAAAATATTTGCAAATCATATGTCTGATAAGAGTTTAATATCTAAAATATATAAGAAACTCATACAACTCAGCGAAAAGAGAACCCAATTTAAAAATGGGCAGAAGATCTGAATAGAAATTTTTCCAAAGAAGACATTCAGACTGCCAACAGGTATAGGTAAATATGCTCAACATTGCTAATCATCAGGGAAAAGCGAATGAAAACCACAGTGAGATATTATCTCATACCAGTCAGAATGGCTGTCATCAGAAAGAACACATAACAAATACTGGCAAGGATGTGGAGAAAAGGGATCCTTCATGCACTGTTGGTGGGAATGTAAAATTGGTGCAGCCACTGTGAAAAACAATGTGGAGGTGCCTCAAAAAATTAAAAATAAAACTACCATATGATCCAGCAATTCTACTTCTGGGTATATATTCAAAGAAAATGGAAACACTAATCCAAAAAGGTATAGGCACCCACATGTTCATTGCAGCATTATTTACAATAGCCAAGATATGGAAACAAAGTAGGTGTCCATCAATGGATGAATGGGTAAAGAAAATGTGGCATATGTATACACACAGTGGAACATCATTCAGCCATAAAAACTTGAATGAAGTCTTGCCATCTGCAACAATATGGATGGACCTTGAGCACATTATGCTAAGTGAAGTAAGTCAGACAGAGAAAGAAAGATCAAATTATCTCATTTATATTTAGAACCTAAAAACAAACAAAAAAACCCCACAAGCTCACAGATGCAGGGAACAGATTGGTGGCTGCCAGAGGCAGGGGCCAGATGGTAGGCGAAATGGATAAAAGGGGTGAAAAGATACAAACTTCCAGTTATAAATAAGTCTTGGGGATGTACAGCATGTACACAGTGGTGACTGTAGTTAGTAATACTGTATTGCATATTTGAAAGTTGCTAAGAGAGTAAATCTTAAAAGTGTTCATTACAAAAGAATTATAAATATGTGTGGTGACAGATGATGACGAGTTTTGGGGTGATCATTTCACAGTGTATACAAATAGCAAATCATTATGTTATAGACCTGAAATTAATAAGTAATCGTTTTACATCTGGAAGTTCTCGTTCCATACATGCCATGGCCTCCAAGCAAGGAGCTTCCAGCCAGCGAGCAGGTTGAATCATGCTGCTGCCATCAGTGCTACTAATTTGTTGCATGGCTCCTATCACATGTCCTGCCTCTTACGTGCTACTTCATGGTTAGCTTCCCTTTGGTCCCTTTGGATTCTCTCATTTTGGCCTTTCTGTGTTAGCCACAAAAGTAAAATTTCCTGTTTTCTAAGCAAGGCTCGGGAATTACAGCAACCTTTGATACGATTGGGGTCAGAGATATTTCACAGGGTGTTTGGATCTCATACTGACTTCTTGGCATAGTCTCAGGATGACACGTAGCTCAGTAATGTCTTGATTCACTGAGTTACAAGCATAGTAGCTTTGTTACTTCATTATAATTGTAATAGTCCCCATAAATATTGGGTGATATAAAAAGCATAAAGAAGAAAAAAATCACTGATACCCTACCGCCCAGGGAGAACTGCTGCTAATATTTTGGTTTATTTCTTTCTAAGATTTCTGTCTTAACCATTACCTTTCAGTGAATCTGTCAGTTATAAGGATAGGTTCTCATTGATGGACTCTGCCTGAACACTAATTTAATAGGGTTACCGATTATTGCTTATTCTTAATGTTGCTTGCCACTGTGTGGGGCAATGTCATCTCCCTTTGGCTGAAGTATGCAATCTCGGACCATCTTTCTACCTTCATTTTGTAAACAGTGTATCATTTGCTGGGTGTACTAATATTTGTAGAGCATTCAAAGCAAAAATTATATGAGTGTGTTTTTCCCCCAGAGGAGATGAATGTAATTGCTAAGAAGTTTACATACATACATATATATACACACACACACATATATCTATATATATGAAGTTGCATATATAAGTGTGTATTATATATATATGTGTGTGTATATATATGAAATAAGCAATTGGTTTTCACAAGGAAGAAGGAAAACGTGTGTTAAATAGAAAATTGAGTCTATACAGTTGCTTTCTGTGCAGTTGCCTTCTTCCCTTTTACTGTGTAGGAGCCCAAGCCAGCCCGTCTGCTTGTGCTGAAGGTCCTGTGGAATGACTTCTTGATATGCTACTCCTCTCGCCCACTGCTCTGCTGGTCCGTGTGGTGGGCCCTCTCCACCTGTGGCTATTTCCAAGTGGTGAACTATGCACAGGTCCTGTGGGAGCAGGTGATGCCTTCTCGCCATGCTGCTGTCTACAACGGCGGTGTGGAGGCCGCTTCAACCTTACTGGGTAAGCTGCGCAGGGTAGTGGAGGCTGCTAGGGATGGGGGAGAGTCCTCTGGGTCGTGAAGTCAACCAAAATCAGATTTTCTCTCCCCTCCCAAATTTGAAGTAACCCCCAAAGAATAATTGACTTATTTTGAGCTCTGATTTTATCATGTAGGATGAAAATTTCAAAGTGTTCAATAGGTGGAGGACTGACTGACAAACTTGAATTTTTCCTAGCCTTTGGGAAACCTAATGTAATGATTTCCTAAACTGTCTTCTTATCCTAAGTTTTTGTTTATCTCTGATTTACTGGGTGCTTTTGCCACTTGTTGTGAAACTTTGAGTAGCAGTCTACAGTGCTGTATAACCACAGTAGCTAATATCTGTTGTGTTAATACGTGCCAAGTGCTGTTCCAAAGACTTTATGTCTATTAGCTCAATCCTCACAGGATTCCTAAGATGGGTGCAGTTATCCTCCCCATTTTACAGTGAAGGAAGCCGCAGACTAATAGGTTAATAACTTGCCAGGATCATAGAGATAGTAAGTATTAAAGCCAAGGTTTGAACTCAGAACCTATGTCTTTGGCCATTATTCTATTGTCCCTTTCTAACGTGTGGACCCACCTCTAAAGGTTTTGGAAGACTTCACATGATTTCTGTAAACCCTTGTAACTGTGATTGGCACTTAGAGCACTCCATAGCTACCACCAGCATTTTACCATGTTCTAAACTGCCCCTCAGTTGGGAGGAGAGACGAGCCATCCTGCCACGTTGCACAGATACTGTCAGCGGTTGTTTTTGACTCTTGCTTCTGTGTCCACCCTGGTAGTTTTCCCTTAGCAGCGTCCCTAGTTCTGTGTTGTCCGCTTCCATCTCATATTCAGTCTCTCATCATCTCTCAGTGGCTCCATATTTATTCCATCAAGTCCAGAATTCTCTGCCTGACTTTCAAAGTCCCCCATAATCTTGAGCTCCTCTGTTCATGGGTTAGAAGATCTTAAAATGCAGTAATCTCAGCTGAATTTTTAATTTTCTGAACTAGTACTTGTTTAGCAAAATAACTACATTACTTTTCTCTCTTTGTTTTGCAGGTGCTGTTGCCGTGTTTGCAGTTGGTTACATTAAAATATCCTGGTCAACTTGGGGAGAGCTGACACTGTCTCTGTTTTCTCTCCTGATTGCTGCCGCAGTGTATATCATGGACACTGTGGATAACATTTGGGTGTGCTACGCATCCTATGTCGTCTTCAGAATCATCTACATGTTACTCATCACCATTGCAACGTATGTATTTGGATTCAAAGCATTTGGAAAAGTTGTGACTTCTTCTTTGGTTTCTTTCAAAACAAATATTCTGGCTAAAAGAGGCAAATGGGAGGAATCATTATATTACATGTGCATTATCAGTTTTTCTCCTGAGGAAGCATTTAGGCAAGGTTCGTTTATTTCCTTGTCCATATGTTCTTGCTGTTTTCAGATGTTTGCAGGAGATTCACATCATTTAGCAACAAAGTACTTTTTCACTTGGTTGGGAAGGGAATTGATGGTAGAAAGAAGGAGCTACTCTTCACATTTAAAGTAAAGACTGTAACTACCCTGGAAGTCATTCTTGTCTGTTCTTTCTTCTTTTTCTCTTTAAAGTTTTCAGATTGCCACAAACCTCAGCATGGAGCGCTACGCCCTAGTGTTTGGTGTGAATACCTTCATTGCTCTGGCACTGCAGACCCTGCTCACGCTCATTGTGGTAGATGCCAGTGGCTTTGGCTTGGAAATTACCACTCAGGTAGGATCTCTGTTTCAGTACTGAAGATGTTACAAGTGGAGCATGCTTAATAAATAAATTCAAGCCATGTAGACAGATACAAAATAAAAAGTAGAAGTGTCTCCTCCTTCCTCAGTGAACCTCCACCCTCAGTTCTTTTCTTCCAGGAGGATGTTGGCACCATGATTTTTCTGCTGAGGCCCTGGAACATTCTGAGTGTGATTAAGCAGCCAGGTGTTGCTAAAAGGTGCTAGTGGTCCCCTCCAGGCCAAGCTCTCTGCTTCCTCATCCGTTATTATTTCCCCTCCATTTTTAATTCTGTGCCTGGAATACTGCATCCCATGTTTGAGATGCCCTGCTTCATCTCAGAGCTAAGTCTCCACCCTTCTTTATTTACAATACCCCTCGCCCAGATACCAAGGTACTGACTTGCTGTTGATGAACAGCACTGTGATTCTTAACACATGACCTGTTGAGAAAACACCTGCACAAACACCCAGAGACAATGTGAATACTTTCATTCACTTGGGAATTGTGTGGTTGTATGAGCATGCCTTCATGCATTGTGAGTTATAGGTAGGGCTTGTTCTATGCTTTTGCAAAATGGGCAGTTGAATCAAAAAGTGCCTACTCCACCCCATCTCAGCCCAAATGATTCCATCTCCATTATTCCTTCCTTCCTTCCATAATTGTTCTCTTAGAATACAAAGACCTAACATGTTGGCAGTATCCCTTTGTTTTTACTGAGGAGATCTAAAAGGGAAATAATAATAAGTCACATGCGTTGAATGCTTTCTGTGCCAGGTACTTTATCGAGAATTTTGCAGGGTTGTTGTCAGGATTAGACATCGAGAAAATGAGTCTGGGAGATGGTGTGTTGTTTAAAGTCACAGTCAGTAATAGCGTGGCAGAGCCAGGATTCAGACCAGCATCTGAGTCTCAAGCCTAGGCATCTCCCACTGCTTCATGCTGCGTCAAAAAAGGCTGGGGCAGGGGAGCGGGGGATAGAGCAGAGGAACGGGAGCTTATTACTTTCTTTTAAGTAAGAACGACTTAAGTGTTTCCCAGTTACTACCTGCAATAAAAACTTTGAGGAGACCTCTCAAGGGTTGGGGCGTACATTTGGGATGGAGGGTAGGAGAGTAACGAAGTGCTTGCCATCTTGCTGTAGAAATGGTGGATTTAAACAGATGGAGTAAGTAAGTAAATAGAATTTTGTGGGCTGTGCTGAAACTCGTAACCGTAACAACCATGGTTAATGAACAGGTTTCCGATAGAAAAATGTATCCAAATTTTAAAGAATCTGGCTCGAAGGATTAGAGGGACAGGCTTATTGCACCCATAGAACCAGCTTATCGGTATTTAGTTATTTTAAGAAGAAGATGATGACGATGTTGATAAATGATATAGTCACGTTAAAAAATTGGCTTAGAGAAAATTCTTATAAAAAGTAGTCTTGTAATGGAATATAGTTGACCTCTTCTGGGAAAGAGTAGAAGTTCTTGAACGTCAGAATTTGGCCTGTTGGTCATACCCACCTATCAGCCTGAGGGTAGAGCCCATGATTCAGTTACAACAATAATAACAGCAACAAAAATGAAAGCAGTGTTCACAGCAGTAGCGTTTTGCCAACACACTTACATACATGAGCTCGTCCCTTCTCAACAACCCTAGAAAACAAGGAAGTGTTATGAAATACAAAGTGGTCTGTACATGAAGTCAAGGTTCAGAGACTAAGTCTCTCAGTCCAGGTCACACAGCTGGTGAGGGGCGTGGTTGGGATCTGCACACAGGCAGTCAGGCTTCAGTGTCACCGCTGCCTAGTGTATCCTCAGTGCTGGTCCATCACGTAAGCACACGTGTTTTTTGGAGTTTTATTGAGAAACTGAATGTACCTTTACTTATAGTCTGTTCACATACATGTAATAAAAGATCTCATCTTCTAATCAATAATCCTCTAAATTGCTTCTCCCCCTCCTCTTTAGTTCTTCATCTACGCTGGTTATTTTGCACTCATCGCTGTGGTTTTCCTGGCTAACGGTGCGGGCAGTATCATGAAGAAATACAGGAAGCGGGAAGATCCAGAATCAAGTTCTCAAGTAAACCCTTCATAATCCACTACTGATGAGCTTCTTAAAGCAAAAACCCTGCACAGCAGCTGTGCCTGGATGTATTTAATTTTTTAAAGTGTAGACATATATTTATGAATGTGCACTTCATGGCTTCAAAGCAGCCAACTGACTCTACCTTGTGTTCCTAGAGTAACATAATATACTGTTCAGAAGTGAAGTTTATTTCATAGATTATTTATAAGGGCCAATTTTAAGGATGCCTTTTTTTTCTGATTCAAAAGTGAACTTGATTTTGAAAACCAAGTAATCAAGAGCAGTCAAGCAGCACATGGTGATGTATACTTGCTAGCACGTGAGTTTGGTGTTTCATAGGTCAAGTGCTTCCGTATCTGATTAGCCAGATGCTCGGCCTGGTGGGACCAGGGCTTCACAGGGGCCACAAGATGTTACTAGTCGGAGTAGAAATATGTTCTGACAGCACCCGGCTCCGTTCAACTTAATTCTTGTTTCTGTGTTACTCGCGTGCATTTGTGTTTCTGCAGATGAAAGCTGTTCCTATCAGTGACAGTATTTGCTCTGGTTTGGTGTTCTTTCCTATAAGGAGTATTTGTCATTTCTAATTTTAAGTTTTTTTAAAAAAAATTCATTGTGCGAAATTCTCAGTTCCCATCTTGACAGGTAAGTATTTGTGTAGATTTTCCTCAGAAGTACATTTTTACATTATTCATATGCTTCCCAGAGAAGCTAATTTAGTTTAAAAATAAGGCAGGTTTTGAGGCCTGCTAATAATCTAAGCGACCTAATTAGAAAACTTAAAGTAGGTTTGCTTGTCTTTTATTCTGTATGAAGGACTGTTAATTCCAAGATGAAAAGTTAAGGAATGGGCTAAAGATACAACTAGCCCATTTTGTATTTGCATTCCCTTGTATTTCCAAAATAAATTGATAAGGTCTTTTTTTTTTTAAATAACATCATCTCCATTTATAACTTACATTATTTGTCCTCCTTATACAAGGTAAAGATGTCACTAAGAGTTGGATTATTCCAAGGTCTTTTTCACAAACTGAGCCTCTTTTAAATTATTTTAATGGGACAGGAACCAGAAGACTTGGTTCCTGCATTTTGTACATTAAATCTGCCTTTGTTTCTAAAGGTGGATCATCTTGAATATTTGCTTAAAATAAGAATTGCTAGTGATTCCACTTCCAAGTTACTTGAAAAAATGTTATTCTGTATACAGTTAATTGGGAAATTAGTCTAAAGTGGCTGCTAGTTTATGTGAGACATGAACACTATTTTAAAGCCAACTTTGTTGCCTTAGCTTAAAAAAAGTCTAGGGTAACTTTTTTAGAATGACATAGGTAAACAATGAATAATAGTGTCAGGATTCTAAAACTGACCTATTTATTTGGTAGAAGCAGGAATTCTAGAAGCAAATGAATGAGGATAAGAATAGGTCATTCTCCACTCACCTTCCTTTCTGAATGAGGGAAGGGAAAAGAACGCTGCCTGAGGAGGGGAAGGGGAAGTGGCGTCATAAAAAGCAGCCTCCAGTTTTTACATTTTGTCTTTGTTTTGTTTTATGTTGCTAAATAATTGTTTCCTCGGAAACAAGTAGAAAAGCAGGGTTTGAAGGATTTTAATTTTTTTAGCAACATAGACTGTGGTACAGTCAAATTGTTCATGTTACCTAAGCAATATTTCCATGAAATTTAATTCTAAGTTTGTGGTACAATCAGAGCCTTTACTTATTTAAGACAATAGTAAATTCACATCGTGGTATGTGGCCCTATTTGCAAGTTGTACTGTATGCAGTTTCGCAAAGAAGTGAAAATAATTTGTTGTACTTTGTATTCAATTCTGTACAGATTTTAAATTTATTTTTATTAAATAAATATTTTATAGTATATTCTCCCTTTTTAATCAAAATTATTTTCAAGTGATCTTTTGCTTCATTAAGAGCTTTGGATTACATATTTAAATCTTTTAATAATTTCTCCTAGGACAGATATCAGACTAAGCATTCCCCTCACCTGACCTTCCGAACTAAGCTTGTCATCTCGTTCTTCCATTGCTTTGCGATCTTTACCTTCATCTCTTCTGCCTTATTTCTGTTGTTTCCCCCATTTTTTTCCTAGCACCACATTGCACTGCTTACTTTTCTTGGTTTTCATCTTGGTACCTCTTATCTTCTTAAAGGATTCTCCCTTTTAGAAACTGAAAAGACCTACATTCTCTTGATGTTAACTGAATTTTTTAAACAAAGGAAATGAAATCGAATCAAGGGCAGAAGGTACCATCCTGTTTTGAAAATTCATAGCCTTCTTGTTCCAGCCCCAAATATTCCGCTATCCAGGGAATCATCTTCTTGCCATCAGTTGAGAATCACTTGTTCTTTGTATCCCAGAAACCAAATCAGTCTTTTCTCACAGTATCCAAATGAGTACCTTCCCTTTAATATCTCATTCCGAAACCTGCTTCATGAAGGCATTTCACTGATTATCACCAAACACTTGGAAATTTTTCTTGCAAAAACATTTTTGAAGATAAAATTTTCTGTCCCTAGAGTCATATCCCCCGTATCTTAAGGCCTTTCAGATTGTAAGCCTTCTAATTAGGGACCATCTCTTATTTTTGTCTTTTGTCTTTATAAAGCACATCCTAGTGCTCTATGAATACTGAATTGTGTAAGTGATATGTAATGGACTCAATATAGCCACTTGCCAATACAATAGGTCATTGTTTTTTAAAAAGTACATCAACATAAAACATTAAGATTAAAAGGCTTGTCAATGACCTCTAGTACACTGGATGCTGTATTCAAAGGCATTGTGCCTGAGTGATAGAAACTGAATTTATTTTACTTATTATGGCATCCTCATAATTAATACCTTATATTCGTTTAACACTTTTTAACATCTCCTTGGATTCTGGAAAAAGTGTCTTGTAGCACTACTAATTCCTCTGCTTTCATTAAGTAATGCTGATAGAAGGGAGTTCGAAATACTGGGTTTGCCACTCAAAGCTCTGACACATTAGGGAAGTCACTCTATTGAGCTTCAGTTTCCTTATCAGTAAGTGGGAACGATACTTACCCCACAGGATTGTGGTGAAGAAATTAAAGAACATATGTGAAAGCACCTGTAACGCTGGAGAGCCAGAGCAGGCAACTAAGAAACCAGTTCCCTTCCCCTTACTCTCCATTTACACTAAGTCTGTTGCCATCAATCTCAAAATTGTACTCTCAAAGGAAACTTTTTAACATTTCAATCAAAATGAAAATGATCAGAAGCTTTTAAACATTCTCCCATATTTTTAATTTATATTTTGGAAAGCTCTTCTGGGGATAGAAGGAAAAAGTCATGATTCCTGCTCTCAGGGAACTTAAAAATATGTGATAAGAAAATACAAGTAGAAAGGATAATATAGAGGCCCAACTGCAATACTAAATACTGTGTGTCAGATACCATAATGATTAAAAGGCTTGGGTCTCAGAAAAAGACATTGGGGAAATCATGTGTGACTGCCTGGAAGGAGGTGGCATTTGAGTTGGCAGGACGGGCAGGATTTTGAAAGAAATTCGGAAACGGAGACCTGTGTAGTGAAGAAACGGGTATCAGTAAAGGTATGAAGGCCAGAAAATGGGTGTACAATCAGCAACAAACATAGAGGGGAATAGGGTGCGATAAAGTTGTAAAGCAGTTTGGGGTCATTTTCTGTTTATTAATTGGGGGTGGGAATGGGAAGTAATGATTAAGCTTATCTTAAAGACGTTTAATCTGACAGCTGTGGACAGGATGAATTTTATGGAAAGGTATGATTTAAAATGGGTAGTTGAATGGCCATTTCAGTTGATTAGATGTAGGTGAGGAAGCCCTTTATGTCTATGGCAGTGGAAGTAACAGGACTAACCTGAGGTTACTGAATTAATATTCTGGAATGTGTGCCCATTTTTCAAAAGGTAGCTTAAAAAAGTGAATAACCTACCCAAGATCACACATCTGTAAGTTGGAGAAGCCGGAATAGGATTCTGATTCCCACCCTACACTGCAAATTAATGGTCACTTCCACCCTTGTTCCCCTATCAGGTCTGCAGGGATGAGACCACAGTGGGAAGAGGGGATAGGAAGGTGCAGCCGCGGCAGCTCTCTGACAACAGAACCGGAGTTCTCCAGAGAGGGAGAATGCCAGGCAGGGCACCCTTGGCAGTAGGAGGGATTTGCGGAGGGGCTGTCCTGGAATGGCTGGGGAAGTGGCAAAGGGATAGAAGCTCGGTGTACAAGTTGTGGGGATAGAGTGAAACAACGCTACAGAATATCCACAAGCAGATTTTTCTGGCCAGCGCCTTCCAGGGCGGGCAGCTCCGGACTAGAACTGGGCCTGCGGGGCTGCGGGCAAACGGTGGGCGCAATGTGCCTGCCTCCCTTGCTCCCTCCTCCTCCCGAGGGCACCCCCGCCACTGCGCCTGCGCATTACCGCCCGCCGCTGGCGGGCTGCGACGGCTCCAGGTGTTTGCACGCTGCATCTGTGCCTCCGCAGGAGAGGGAAGGAGGGCTAAGGGAAGCCCGGGCTGTGTGCTGCATTTGACCGTTTTATGAAAATCCTCCTCCCAAACCCACAACGAACCCCAGTGTGAGGAAAACCCGCGTGGAAGGTCACATACCGCTAAGGGCGTCGGCTGCTGTCTATGACATTTAAAACGTGTTCGGTGATCAGTATTGCCAGCTGTAAGTCGTTTCTGAATACCAAACTATCTTCTTTTAAAGTAAGTGAATTAACAGGGGCAGCAGCCCTTTTCCAGAGGAAGATCTTACCCTGTAGAAAATGTAAAGGGAATCACAGCTAAGAAAATTTAACCTCCTGCCTCAAATACTGAAATGTTAACCAAAACTTATCCATTTGACATTTAATATTGAAAAGCCCTAAACTTATTGACGTTTGGTATTATTCCATCCTCTACCCACACTATTGCCATCGCCCTTTTTTTTTCTAGTATTAAACTGCATGACTTCATTATCATTCCCTGCAGGATGCCAAAAATCCTGGAGGACCTACCTTCCACATTCTGAGAGTATTAACAAGTCGACCTTGAACTATAGATCAGTACTTAAGATCAAGCACTGGGATGGAAACAGCCACCTGGAAATTCTTGCCTGTGTCATGTGTTTTACTGATTGAAAGAGGGTAAGCCAGAGAATGTGTCCTTAGTGGAAAATTATCTAAGATGGCTTAATGATCTGTTTTTATCTCCAGCTTTTGCAATTGAATCCCAATTTTTGGCTCTCTCCTCCCTATCCTGATTCTTTCTTTGCATTTTGGTCCACTTTCCTTAGGTGTAAGCCATTTTATTTCATATTTACCCAGAGTCATCCCTCCGTATCCACTTTAATAAAAAAAGACCGGCCATGTCTCGTGGAAAGGACTCCTGCCTTAAGCCAGGGATCTAGGTGGGAGCTAAAGTGGTCCCAAATGGGTAGAAGTTCTCAGCTTATAGCAGAATTTTAAAAACCATATTTAAAAAAAATCATCTCTAGAGAAAAGCATTCCCTTTTAAGCTCCTGCATCAGTAGAGTTATGCACAGTATGGATTTAAAAAATCACAGAGAAGAATATACCTTAATCTTCAATAAACAGCCTTCTAAGAAGTGACCTAAAATCCTACTTCATAGTGTACAGTAAAATTTTACTAATTGAGTTTATTGGTGGTTGGCAAATATTCTAATTCTATGGTTATTTTAATATTTTTTCATGGTTTTAAGAGTATTGTGTTTTCAGTAGGAAATTTGGAAAATATAAAAAAGCCTAAGGAAAAATTGTTACTCTTAATATTTATCAACTCTAATCCCATATATCTGTTTTTTATCCGCTCACAACCCCCAAGAAACCACAACAGAGCATAAGTAGTTAATAAGACACTTAGTGGCAGATCACTCTCAGATTAAATAAATATATAAAATATTTACTTTGAGAAATTAATACTATTAAAAGTAAATACATTATTTTAAAAATCACCAGAGACATAAGCAACCATGAATAAAAGTCACAGAAACAACAAATAACAGATTAAGAGTCCTGATGATTTAGGTTTTGGAGTGACAGATACCAAGTATAAGATCAATATGTATAAAACTTTAAATATAAAAAATGAAATCACAAAAAATGAGCAAGTAACAAGAGACTAACAAAAATGAAAAAAGTGACAAGAAAGAACCTAAAGATATATTTTAGAAATTAAAAACAAATGCTGAAGTTAAAATTCAATAGATAATGTCTCATAAATTGCTGGTGGCATGTAAGTTGGTACAACCCTTTTGAATAGCATTTTGGCATTTTCTTTTAAAGTCCAAGATATGCATACTCTATGACCCCGCAATTCCACTCCTATAGACATGTGACTATAGAGGAATGAAAATGAATAAACCAGAGTTACAAGCAACAACTTCAATAAATCTTAAAAACATAATTTTGAGCAAAAGTAAGACACAAAAGGATATATCAATAAAATTCTATTTGTTCAAAAGCAGACAAACTATATTGATTAAATTTAGAAATTATTACCATAAAAGTCTAGCAAAAGTATTTACTACTGAAGAGTGGGGAAAGGTATAAATAAGGAAGGGCACACAGCCTCGCAGCCTCCTTTTTTTTTTTGCACACAGCCTTCTAAGGAGTGCTTATGTTATTCTGTTTCTTGGCTTGGTATATTATACATGTGTGCTTGTTAGATGATTTTTCACTATACTATACATTTGTGTTTTGTGTTCTTCTCTGTATGTTCAGTAAATTTCTAAAAACACAAAAACACAAACACAAAAAACTAAAAACACAACTAGGTTAAACAGTACATTAGGCATGGCTGAAAAGAGAACTAGTGAAGTAGAAAATAAAACTGAAGAAATTAATATGCGG